AAACTTAAATACAATTTATATGAAGATTATACATGTATTAACATAGGTAGACAGAAACTGATTTTTTTTCTCTCTCTCTCGCGAGGGAAATTAGGATTCCGGACACCCGTCTCGACAGCCTACAGTTGCCAACTCCAGGTTTGGAAATTCCTGAAGATTTGAGGATGGAGCTTTGGGGGGAACCCCATTTGGGGAAGAGCAGGAACCACAGCTGGGTATAATGCCTTACATAGTCCACCCCTTCTAAAGCTGTTGTCTTCTTCAGGGGAACTGAGCTCTAGGGCCATACTGGAGGTTGGTAACCCCAGGGGAGCAGCCTCGTCAAACTCCATTTCTCTGAGTCCCTTTGGGAAGACAAAGTATGTAACCGTTTTGGTCTAGGGAGGGGCGGCTTCAAGTTGCACCAGACTTTTGCTTTCCGGACGCCTTTGAGTCTTGACTTAACAGAGACCTCCCTAACTGGACTGTGCGACTCAGCCCCGCCCCCCTCTCCTGGGAACGCCACCGGTTTCCATAGCACGGGAAGGGAGCAAGAGAGATCTTGACCTCTCTGCCAGTCACTTGACACGCTCCTCGAGTGACAAGCTTGGCCCTCCTTCCTCCTCCCTACTGGAACTCAACCTTAGGAGCAGTGTTCCCTCTGAGCTGAGTTAGTGTGAGCTACCTCACAGTTTTTTAGCCTCCGGCCCACACATTTTTGTCTGAGCTCAGGAAAGATGGCTCCAGAGCAAAATGATTTATGCAGCAGCCAAATTGCTCGCGCACAACTTTAATGCCAGTCGCTCACAAAGCAGAATTGTTGCTCACGAGGCTCTACAGCTTAGAGGGAGCATTGCTTAGGAGGTGAAACTAGAATGAATTCGACACACACATTGCCCTTCCATCTGTTTTTTTTTGGGCTCTGCCTTGTTACGCGTTTTCGACTGTAAGCTTCCCCGGGGCGGGGACCTTCTCGATTTCCATGGGCCTTAATGAGGGAGGAGCGCAGTGTTTGAGAGATGTGTCTTGGCCATTGGGAGCTGGCTCTCGGAGGGGAGGGGCTGTGGCTCAGTGGCAGAGCCTCTGCTTGGCATGCGGAAGGTCCCCAGTTCAGTCCCCGGTGTCTCCAGGGGGCTGGAATGAATCCGTCAGGTACGAGGTGATCAGTCAGGTAAGAGCTAATCACTCAGGTAGGAGGGGATGGGAAAGACCTCGATGGGCCAAGGGTCTGATTCAGTATAAGGCAGCTTCCTGTGTCAGTGGTCCCTTATTGGAGAACAGCAAGAGAACCACCAAAATAGCCCTAAACCAGTGTAGTGTAATTGTCAGAGCCTTGTGGGAGGCTCGAAATCTCCACTCCGCCATGGAAGCTCGACGCTGGGTATTCTGGGAAGCACCCCGGCGTCACCCTCTCTCAACCTGACCGACCTCGTAGGGTTGTTGTGAGAATAAAATCCCGTCGTTGTCTCCTGAAATCTTCATCCTGTGTTTCTGCTATGTGCAAAGGGGGAGAAACGGAGAGAAAAGAGGAAGAAAGTGTGGAAAGAATGGCTTTATTTATTTATTAAAACACACACACACACAAACTTTCAGCAAGAATGTTAAGTTTCCTGCTTCACTCCAGACTGCCTGATTCGAGGGTTCTTGCCGTGGACAAGAGCAGTTACATGACTAATCGACCATTCATATTTAGTGTTTTTGCTAGTTTTAAGAAAGCCCCTCCCCCAGGAAAGACATCAGCCTTCTGAATTCTGATGCATCAAAGGGGAGGGGGGAACCTGGCTGGCTGGCTGGCTGACTAGCAGCCAGGGCAGGTGGGAATTCTCTGGAGGTTTGCCCGCTTTGGGTGTGGATTCACGGGACAATCTTTAGCTTCTCTCGACCCGCGCACCGCCCCCTTTCCCCAGGTGCGGAAGAGTGCAAGCCAGAAACGCGCGGAGTACACCGCGTCTCCGAGAGAATCCATTCGCAGTGCGATCTGGAGTCCGCGTGTGCCCGCGTATTTAGTTGGTGAAGCAGCCCGATCCGCAGGCCGACTAAGCCGTGGTGATGCCATTGAAGTGCAAGGATTGTTAAACCCTCCGGCCTCAGGGCTGGAAGGAATAGTGTCACAGAACGCAGAGCAAGGAAATCAGAGGGACTTGCTTCCAAGCAATGTTCCCTCTACGCTGTGGAGTCTTGTGAGCAAAAATTCTACTTTGTGAGCTACTGGCATTAAAGTTGTGAGCCAGCGATTTGGCTACTGCATACATTAGTTTGCTCTGGAGTCATCCTTCCTGAGCTAAGACAAAACTGTGTGAGCTGGAGGCTAAAAAAAACTGTGAGCTAGCTCACACTAACTCAGCTTAGAGGGAACACTGGTTGGAAGCCTTCTTAACCCTTATTTTAAAAAAAAAAAATCTCAGGACGGATTTACAATCCGCAAAGTCCGCCTTAGCAAGTACACCGCAGTTTAAAAAGGAAATCTAGACTGGTGTCGTTTGAAGCCCTCCACTTCGTTTTTTCTGTCGAAAGACAGAAAGACAGAAAGAAAGAGATCCACGCAAGTCTGGAGAAACATTTGCTTGAATCTTTTCTTTGGCGACCTGAGCGACCGCCTATACTTCCAACGCGCTCCTTCCACGCTTGGTTTAAGGAAACTGGTAGCCCCCAAAGCAAGCCCCGACAGATAACAGCTGGGGGGGG